ACAATTTTTTGGGGGGGACATATCCACCTGGCTTTTATATTGGGGGGGACATGTCCCCCCCGTCCCCCCCGCTTCCTACGCCGCTGGACGCCTGTTTATGTTTTTAAGTGTTTGTTATAGAAAAATCAATGGATTAAAAATATAATATAAATTGATAAAAACAAACTCTTGTCTGACTGATTTTGTGTTGACCTAAAGTTTTATTAATTATAATGTTTGTTTTTGTTTTATTCAACATAAACATTTTTAAATTTCTCAAATCTCAGTTTCAACTTCTTTATTTATTGAACAATAAACAGTTACAAATTAATAAATCCAAGCAGCTCGTTAATAAAGATTAAATTTGATTTTATGTTCATCTTTTGAGAAAAAATTATGTTACTTCGAAGACTGGATTGATTTACTGAATTAGAGGAATAATCATCTATTTACCTGTTAAATAAAAATAATTGAATAATAATATTTGTAAGGGGTAAGTCCAGTGGCAGAACTAGGGGCTGGCTACTTAAGCTGCAGCCCCGGATGTTTCCCCCAGAGCCCCGGATCTCGCTCTGAGCTGATCTAAGTAAAATGTGCAGTACTGGAATTCACCAGATGGTGCAGCAGCGCAGGAAAGCAGCCTGTAGCAGAAGTTGTCACCACTAGTTGTTGCTAAACAGACTAGCTGCGTCTCAATTCGCAGGCTGCGTACTTCCGAGGACCCAGACTCGGTAGGCTGCTCCAGAGGATCCTCAGTCGTTGGTAAATGGGACGGTCAAGCCTTTGGAGCACTTCCTGGTTGTGACACGACATCATCACGTTTACCCCAAAAACAGCGCAAAACCAGTCAGTGGTGCTCCATGGAGGGACCAGCAGTCTGCTGAGGTGTCTACCCTGGAGGAGGGTCTACCCGACCACCGTTACATTTAGATGGCAAGTAGAATCACATTTTAGCTGTTCTCATTTCAGGGTTATGAAAACAGTTTTAGTAAAGTCATTATTTTCTGCGTCTTTTTAAACATTTTTAGTAACACGGCAGCCATCGATTGGGTCAGCCCTGCAAACCCTGATGGATGATGTGGTGAACAGTGGAGAGAGGCACCCC